ACTCATTATAAACTCTATAAGACATAAAATTAAATGAGGTTCCAACGTTTAAAAAAGATCTCCACTTCGTTGTCAAAACACACAGTTTCATACAGAAAAATTCATTCCAAGGCAATTGACATTGAGACATTTTCACATCCATTTCTAATCTCTATACACATGACTATCACTGGTCACAGTCGCCCACCTTCTGAGCTCCTCGGTATCTGAGCATGAATACAAACTCGTCAGGTAGACAGCCTTCGTCTCCCACTAGAGCCTCCATACTCTGCTGTCCCTGCCACTGTGCTGTCAGCACCCCCATCCATTCCCCCCTATCTGCCCTTCTGGTAAATCTAGTCAGCCAGAGGTCCCTGTTCCAGGAGGATCAGCTGTTCCTTAAGTAAGTAAATTAAAAATTTTTTTGCTTATTTTATATATGTGTTTTGCCTGCACATAGGTAAGTGCACCATGTGTATGCAGTGTCCAAGGAGGCCAGAAGAGGATATCAGATCCCCTGAAACTAGAATTAGGATGGTTGTTAGAGGCCATGTGGGTGCTGGGAACTGAACCTGGGTCCTCTGCAAGAACAGCAAGTACTCTTAGCTGCTGAACCATCTCTCCAATCCCGTAAGTGAATGTCTTGATGGTAAAAAAAAGATTTAGAAACATCTTTAAGAAATAAGAACAGAGGGGAAAAAAGTCTAAGTTGTACACATGGTCCAAACTGAAACTCAGAGCGTACTGACCAAAAAGTATGAGGTTCTCAGTAGAGACAAGCTCCAGAGGAGTACCCTTTCCCCAAGGAAGGACAGCCAGGATGGACTCAAGTGAGGGTTGGGCTCAAAGATTCTAATCCAGGATGAATGCCATAACAGACCACAGGTGCATCTGTGGGGACTAAAGAAAGGGGAAGCCTTCATATTTTAATTCATTTTTTACTTTTATTCAGTACTGGAGATTGGACCCAGGTCCTCATACATGCTATGCAAACACTCTCACTCCAGCCCTAAGGGGACCCTTTTAAAGGCATCAAGGAAGAAACCTACATGCAAGGACTCCAGGTCTCCACTCCCTGATTTCCTTCTGTGTCCTGACAGAAATCCACAAGTTGCCTTGATTACACTGTGACCAAGCCAGCTTTAGGTTCTTCATGACAGGCTGGTCCAAGCCCTAGAGAATTACCAGGCACTGATAAAGACGTCCAGTTTTTGACTAGATCACTGAAAGGAAGTGACCCAGATTGAGCCATATTCCTTCAATCCTGATATAGACTCCATACTCTGATCCCCCTTACTGTAGACATATAGCTGTGTTGCCTGCTTGCTTGTTGCTTATGGCCTCCCTAGCAGCACGCAGAAACTCCCAACAAGCTCTAGTAGGCTGGGTATATCTGGAGTAGGTTTTGAAATTGCAGTCGACCAGCAAGGAAGCCCAGCTCCTAGTGTGGGAACAGGACATCTCTGCTGTGGGCAAGGGCTGTGGGCAAGGTGTTCAAGTTAGAGACAGAATCACAGCTACAAAGAGGCAGCCTCCACCACCAGTCTGTTACCACTATGGCAGGTGCAGCAGAAGTGGGTCTTGGCTGTACACAATGATGTGCCACCGTTGAACTTGTTAGACCAAAAGTCTCTGAAGTTGAGCTTATTCAGCTGAAGATGCCAGTCAAAGGCAAAGGAGTAGGGATGCAACTCAGTCATAGAGCATTTGCCTAGAATGTGCAAGAACCTAGGTTCAACCAACAGTACTGCCAAAGGGACATGGGGGCAGTGATAAGTTAAAAGTCCAGGACACAATCTCTAAGCCACCAGCTGCATGGCCAGACAGCAGCTGGAAAATGTCTACTGGACCTGAAGCCAGGGGTTCTATAATGAGACTTTTGGGAGAGGAGACAGAATGTTCACACTGAACCCACATTGGATGTGGAGAACAAGGGCAGAGCACTTTGAAGCTGTCAGTCTTGGGCTAGGAGGCTGGTCCGTGAAGAGAAGGGTTTGATTTTTGCTTTGTGAGAAATGTGAAAGAGACATTCTTTCTGTTTGAGATTTTTGGCTTGTGTGGCCATTTTCTTGAGATGCCAGACCCATTTCTAACAATTTTTCTTTTTTTTTAGTCTTTTTGACTTTTTTTTTTTTTTTTTTTTTTTTTTTTTTTTTTTGGTCTTTTGAGACAGGGTCTCCCTGTAGCCCCAGCTGGCTTGGAGCTCACTATGTGGACCAGGCTGGTCTTGAACTCACAGGGATCCATCTGCCTCTGCCTCCAGAGTGCTGGGACTAAAGGAATGCCCCACCACCCCAGGCTATACTTAACTTTCTGAGTATGGGAATTACAGGTGTGAGCCATCATGTCTGGTTCATAAAAGAGAGGCCTTGCTACTTCTTGGCTGATTGTTTCCAAAAGTAGAATATGATGTGACCCTGATGGGTGACATTCAGCAAGGAGGAAAGCCATGTGGAATAAGTGGTGGTTTTTTTTGTTTGTTTGTTTCTCTGGTTTAGCTCTAAGCTCTGAGTTAAAATGGCCATATCCTTTCCTCCCTCCATTCTCTGGCCTGTAACCGATTTAAGATTTAAGGCATTTCCAAATTCTCTTATTATCACGATATTCAAAGCCATTTCTTTTTCTTTTTCTTTCTTTTGGCCTTTTTGAGACAGGTTTCCCTGTAGCCCCAGCTGGCCTGGAACTCATTATGTAGACTAGGCCGGCCTCGAACTCACAGAGATCCACCTGCCTCTCCTTCCCAAATGCTGGGACTAAAGGCGTGTGCCAAACACGCCAGGCTATTCAAAGCCATTTCCTACTCTTTTTTTTTTTTTTTTGGCCTTTTTGAGACAGGGTTTCCCTGTAGCCCCAGCTGGCCTGGAACTCACTATGTAGACCAGGCTGGCCTTGAACTCACAGAGATCCACCTGCCTCAGCCTCCGGAGTGCTGGGATTAAAGGCGAGCGCCACCACGCTCCGCGCATTTCTTATTCTTTAATTGGGACCACAGAGGGAATCTCAGTGAGTCTCAGAACTTAGAGGAAGTGACAGGTTCAATGGAGAAGACATGTCTGAGGGCTCAACCCTTCCAAGTCAAAGCAAACCTAAGAAGGGGTGTGACGCCCCGCCCCCGCCCGCCCCGCCCTCAATGTGTTCGTCACGGCCACGCGGGACCGCCGGAGTCAAATCTCAGCACATGCCTAGCCACGCCCACCGCCTCTAGCCCCGCCCCGTCACCTCAATGTAGCCCCGCCCTCATCGACCCCTCCGCTGGGCCAAACTTCCACCGCCCCAGACCCGCCCACCTGCCCTCATCCCGCCCCTCCTGGAGCGCGTCATGCCGCGCCGCCCGCCCTCATGACATCATCACAGGGAGACGCGGCGCTGGCTGGTGACCGGGTCACGTTGCAGGACGGTAGTCTCAACAGTGACGGGTTTTCAGTGTGGCCTGCGGGGCCTGGCCTGTTTCCCACCTGCTCGGTGAAGTTCCGTACAGCCTGTCTGCGGGTTCCTCCAACGCTAAGGTGGCGGCCGCAAGGGTGCTGGCCCGCCGACGTGGAGTGGAAGGTAGGGCGGTGGGACTGAGGGGGCTTCTCCGCCGACGCCTTAAGGTCGGTGCTTCGGACATTGCCCAGCCGGGCCCCTCCCCTCTTCCCCTACCTGGGGGAGGTGGAACGGCCCACCCTGCGCGCCCTCCTCCACTGTTTGGGACCCTGGACTTCGCCTGCGCAGACCCCTCTGGGAGTTCGTACCATAGGAGAAAACAGCCCTGGCGTCCTTCCCCGTCTATAAGCCGAACTGTGTACGATAACTAGCAACGAGTTTTAAAAGAAAATAAACCAAGCGCCCTGGTTTACATCGCACAGGGCTTTCCTGACTCCATAACTCAGGAATGGGCAGGGCTAGGTCCTGCCACAGACTGATTCTGCGGGGATAGATAGATCCCTGGTAGCTGCTTTTGGAGAAACTTCCACAATCCATTTTAATTCGAGGTCAGCAGGCTAGTGGGATAGACTGGCGAGTAACACATGGTCTTGTATCCGAGGATTCAACCTATCACAGATTGAAGATAATTTTGTGTGTGTGTGTGTGTGTGTGTGTACACACACTTTTTGAGGCAAGGTCTCCTTGTAGTCCCAACTGGGCCTGGAACTCGCTATGTAGACCAGGCTGGCCTTGATCTCACAGATACTATCTTCTCTCTGCCTCCTGTGTGCAAGGATTAAAGGTATGCCACCCGGCAGCTATTTTTTTTAGTATGCACTGAACAGTGTTCTTCTTGTTCCCTAAAACAAAATAGTTTAATAACTGTTTCCTGGCTTTTGTATCCTCTTAGGTTGTTTCATTTTGTTTTTTGAGACACGGTCTCAAGTAACCTAGGCTGGTCTTTAACTCCTATGTAACAAAGGATGTCTTTGAACTCCTGATCCTCCTGCCAATGCCTCCTGAGTGCATGCACTGATGCTGGCTGTGTATTCTATTAGGTATTATAAGTGATTTGATGTACATGGGAGTAGATTGAATGTAAGTATTACGCCACTGTACACCAAAGGGCTGACAGTCGGTCAGTTTGGCCATCTGTAGACAACTACTGGAGCCAATTCCCCATGAATACCAAGGAATAACCCTATGTGCTACCAGGGTCTGATGTAGCTCCTCGCTGGGATTTCAGGAAGATCAATCAAATGGAAAAATCTTTTTTAAAAAATGTTTTTCTGCTGGGCTTGGTGGCGCAGGCCTTTAATCCTAGCACTTGGGAGGCAAAGGCAGGCAGATCTCTGTGAGTTTGAGGCCAGCCTGGTCTACATAGTGAGTTCCAGGCCAGCTGGGGCTACAGGGAGACCCTGTCTCACAAAGACCAAAAAATAATAATAATAATAATAAATGTTTTTCCTTGCTTGGCAGGACTTATACAAGGGCCAGTGACTGTCTTCACGTGCCACCAGGGCTCTAAGGAAAAATGATGACTGTGGGCAGCCTGCTTGGGTAAGCAAGGGCTTCTAGGGCCCTCAGGACTTCAGGCCCATTCCAGAACACCCTGTCCTCACCAGGAGGGCGTTAAGTCTCCTTAGTCCTGGCTGTTCTCCCATGTCCTCAGTTCTGGAAGACTTGTGCTCTGAATCATCTACTGTATCTCTTCCTGGTATGAGGGCCAGGACTGCTTGACCATGCTAATGGCTCCTCAAGGCCCCTAGATACTGGATCATCAATCTTTGCTAGTGTCTGGTTGCTAGGCAGTTCTCTGTCATGTCCTGACAGTGGCAGACTGACCTGGCACTTGGTGCCATCTGGCTCAGCACCACTCACTGACTGGTGCTTGCATGCCTGTCTGTAGCCTGCTGAAGCACAGTGCTGTGAGGACAGCCTTCCCTGTGCCCTGCTACCTGCACAGGTCCTCCTGGAGAGCTGACAGCAACAGGGCCTCGCTCACTCGACTGCGCCGTCAGGCCTATGCACGCCTCTACCCTGTGCTGTTGGTCAAGCAGGATGGCTCCACTATCCATGTCAGATACCGGGAGCCACGTCGAATGCTACTGGTAAGCTTCCTTCACCAGTACTTCCTGATGCTTTGCTACAGGCTGAGCCATAGTGGTGGGGCTCAGGGCCACAACTTGGGATGGTAGTTGCACATGTACCTGTAGTTATTATACTACATTACCGAAAGAGGGGAACAGTTGTTGGAGAGAATTAGAGTAAGAACTCCAAGCACCAAAACTAGAAAGAATGAGCAAGTCAATGGTTTCTCTTTTGATTTTTGTTACTGCTTTATTGAAAACAGGGTCTTATGCAACCCAGGCTGGCCTTGAACTTACTACATGGTGGGGTGGTGCTGGCCTTGAATTCCTGATCCTCCTGCCTCTTCGGTGCTGACATTATAGGCCTAATGCCACCATGCTTGGTTTAACAAGTCAGTGGGTTTTTTTGTTTTTGTTTTTTTTTTTTAAACTACCAAATCTGGACTGGAATGTAGCTCAGTTAGTATACTGCTTGCCTGGAAGGCACAAAGCATTTGGTTCCAAGACAGCATAAAACTGGGCATAGTGGGTGGCACAGATCTATAATCCTAGCACTCAGGAAGCTGAAACAAAATGATTGCTATGGGTTTGAGGCCAGCTTGAGCTACATATCAAGACCCTGTCTCAAAACAAACAAGCACCAAGTCTAGGGAAAAGAAGCAGAAAAATATTTCTCTTTATAAAATGAAAGCTTTGAAAGGAGAGAAAGACCAAGTCTATAAATATCAGGCCAGCACAGGCTAGAAGACACAGGCAAAGACAAGGCGTGGGGACCTCCTTGGTTGCTCTACTCTTCAGTGTTGTGGACATGCCTCTCCTTCACATGCAGATGCCCCTAGATGTGGATGCCCTGTCTCCAGAGGACCGCCGGGCCATGTTACGAAAACGTGAGATTCAGCTCCAACAGAAGAAGGAGGAAGAGCCAGAGATGATTGATAGTGATTTTGATACTGAACATTACAAACAGTTTTGGATCAAGACCAAGAAGTAACTGGCTTGTGGCTGCCATAGGGACATTTTGTAAGGACAAAAGGGTATATGTCTGTAAACCGCACATTCGTGAAGCCATGGCCTCCTGTCACTGTCTTTATTTGCAGGCTCAGCCCTGCAGTTCATCTCTGGAAAGTGCCTGCTTGAAGTCAGATGAAGGGCTTTGGGACTTAGAACAGACTAGAGGGTTTAGGATCCATTTAGGTCAAACCTGTGTAGGTGTTTGGTTTGGTTTGGGGGTGGAGGCATTTGTTTTGCTGCTGTTTGAGAGAGAAAGGGTCTCATTATATAGCCCTGGCTGGCCTAGAATTCACTATGTAGACCATGCTGGTCTTGTATTCATCTCCACCTGCCTCTGCACCCCACATCTTGGGATTAAAGGCTTGTGCTACCATGTCTGCTGCAAACCTTTGGGTTTTAAACATTGCTGCAGGGCTTTGGAGCACATGAACAGCGGGACAAGAAGTACCCAACAACTCATAGGTCTACCCCCCTCATCCCTGGAGCCCCAAAGTTACTGAGACCCAGTGAGAGAAGGAACCTAGGTCACAGCCTGCATCTGTCTTCATCATCTCTCTCTTCACAGCCGTTCCCTAAAAGACTACCCAGGAATGGCACTTCCCTGCCCTCAGAGACCCAAGAGTGTGGCCAGGCTATGTCTTGAACCCCTAGTCTACTTCAGTCTACAGAGTAAGCAGCTGTGCACAGCCAAGACTTGTAAACAGCTGCCTGAACCTTTGTACTTCTGGTGTTGATATAAACTCCAACTGGCTCCCTTCAGATGGAAGAGTACGCATAGCACCTAACCTCAAAAGCAGGCCTTTGACCATCTAGCTCCTCATGGCTGTTTGGGGTGGGGTCGCCTCAGGTTCTGGTTCTCACTGGGATGGGTGACCATTCAAAGCTGCTCAGGCTTTGGAGCTATCCTGGACTCTTATCCCGTATCTGCCTAGCTCCACATTCACTCTCCCCTCTTGGCCTCACCCAGCATGTGGTCAGACAGTGCAGCCTGGCCTCTGTCCTTAGCACACCTGGCCTGATCACATGATGAGGGTCCCAGGAATTGCCCACCTTGCTCTCTGGAGACCCTGGGAGTTGGCCAGGTAGCGCCTCTCCACTATATAGCTATCTGCTGCTTCCTTACTGTGCAGCTCCCCTTGGCACCATCCATTGCTACATATCTGTCCCTTGGATACCCTTGTTATGATGGACCAGTTATGCCCTCCAAAGCCAGGGTATGTGTCAGGACTCAGGTTTGCTTTGCTTAGCGGGGGACCTGCTGGCTTCAGGGCAGAGGGTCTGATCGGCGACAGAGTCAAACTCTGGGACCTGTGTCTTCCTAACAGGATGATTTATTTTAGAATTCAGATGGTTTTTATACATCCCAAGGAACTAGCAGTCACATGGGATATGGCAGTCACATACAAAGATTTAGGGTACAAAGAAACAGGACATTTAATCTGTTAGTTGGCACCAGAAGGATTCTTAAACTTTTACTCAAGGTTATCAATGCCCATCCAGTAATTTATTGGCCACACTGTTTTCTTTCTTAGAGCTAAAAGCATGGTGAACTTTTAGCGTTTAGCTCAGGAGTAAACCTTTAACCTGGCCTAATCTCTTAGCCAGGGATAGCTGAGTTCTTTGTTTAGGACGAGGAGATGAGCTAAGGGTTGTTGACCAAGACGTTTTCCCACAGATCAGGGAGCCTGCACTTTTATGACCAGGCCTCTTCCTCCTGCTAACCCAACAGTGTTCTGCAAAGTAGGGATTATCAGAGCCACTGTTTTCAGTGCCCCTCCCTATTAGCAGAAAATGCAGCCTGGACCTAAAAATTTTAGGCTCACCTCACCCTAGGGCCTGGCATCCTGGTTTCCTACAGTATGAACTCAGGGCTTATCCTAGGTGCCTCACAAGCTATTGGCAGGCACTCTGCATGTATTCAGAGTAAAGATACAGACAAAGGTGAGGCAGTAGTGGTCTACTTGGGCTGCCAGAGAGGCCAGATGGGTAATTTACTGGACTGGGAATGGAACCTAAGACCTGGTGCAAGCTAGGCAAGGTAATCTGATGCCCTCTTCTGGCCACCATGGTCTTTGGATACACGTTGGTGCACTTAACATACATGCAGGCAAAACACTCAGTAAAATAAACTTTTTTTTAAAGATGCAGCCATGGCTGAGTGTGGTGGCATGCTCCTTTAATCCTAGCAGTCAGGAGGCAGAATCAGGGATCTCTTGAGTTCAGGGTTGTCCTGGTCTATATAGTAAGTTCTAGGTAAGCCTGTCTAAAAAAGGAAAAGTCTGGTATGGTGGTGCATGCCTTTAATCCCAGCACTCAGGAGGCAGAGGCAGGTGGATCTCTGTGAGTTCAAGGCCAACCTGGTCTACATAGCAAGTTCCAGGCCAGCTGGGGCTATAGGGAGACCCTGTCTCAAAAAAAAGAAAAAAAAAAATTGCAGTCTCTTTCTGTTATGTTGAGGCAATCAGTGCAATCAGTCCTTGAACTAGTGATCCTCTTGCCTCAGCTTCCTGGACAGCTGGGATTACAGGCCTGGCTCAGACTGGGTACTTTACATTTATTTATTTAATATATTTGTAGGTTTGGGGGTCTTGCACCGTGGTGTCAGAGGACACCTTGTGGAAGTTGGTTCTCTCTGTTCACCATGTAGGTCCCAGGGATCAAAGTCATGTCAGGCTTGGTGGTAGGCTCCTCTACCCACTGAGCCATCTCCACCAGCCCTGGGTACTTTATACAAGTATTTCTTAGTTCAGATGCTAGACAAATTTTTGTCACGGAACCTGAAGGTGGAATTTCCCCATCAGTAGTGGCGAAGGAGTGTCCTAGTGTTCTCAGATAAGACTGGTTGGGATTCCTTAAAGAACTAGTGTCAGGGGTGGTGTTTTATACCTGTGATCTCAGCATTTGGGGAACAGAGGCAGAAGGATCACCATAAGTTTGAGGCTAGGTTGATTTACAGAGTGACTCTTAAAAAACCAAAAAATATAAAATGCCAGTATGATCGATCCAAAGCTAGAACTGGCTTCCAGGGGGCTACAGTGGCGCTTCAAGATGGGAAACAAGGATGTCCTACCTAGCCCCGGCAGGGGCTCAGGTGTGGGGCTCATGTTAGGATTGGAGGAAGCTTGGCGTGGTAGTACAGGCCTGTAATTCCAACATACAGGTGGAAACAGGAGGATCACAAGTTCCAAGGTTTTCTTCAACTATATAGTGAATTAAAGCCAGCCTGGGGTATAGGAAATGCCAGCATTGTTGAGATCTGGTGCCAGTCTGCTCTGGCTTGTAGACAGCCAATATCTTATTTTACCCCCAAGTGGCAGAGTTCCCTGGGGTTCCCTTGTGAGGCTCTACTTCATAACCTCAAAGGTCCTGCCTTCCAGAACCATCCTTGTGGAAGATTTAAAAGGAATAAAGGATGAAGTCGGGAAGAAGGTGCACATCTACGGACAGACTGCTAGGGCTGTTGGACTACAGAGAAACTGCAGCGGTATTTAAGCGTTAGTCCTGGCTCTGAATCGTTCATTGGTTGCCAGTTTCAACCAGTATTTCGTTCAGTACCAAATGTTAGGCCCATCTTCAAAGAATTTCTGAATTACACCAGACTACAGAATGTAATTAACTCGGTTTTTCTACCATGTCCGTAAAGCCTCGCCTGCAGAGAACACAGGCGGATTGTACCGGTCAGGGCTGCCTGGGTTTTGGGTCACGCTCTGCAATCCAGAACTGATCTGCGGGGTTTCTGGACACTTTATCACTTCTCGATGTCGGGGGAAGGGAGTACGGGGCCGGGGGGTGGTTTACGGTGTTTTAGGCCCTGGGTCCCGACGCTGTCTACACGGGCTAACTTCCACTGGGGGCCGCTCCGGACTACCCAGCAGCCGGCTCTTGGAGGGTTAGTGCGCAGGCGCGCGTTGCAGTGGTACGAAGGAGGTGCCTGCGGGTGCAGCGTCCCAGGGCTAGACCGGGGCGGGTAAACTGGGTGCGGAGGTGCCCCTGGGATGGAAGGACCCAGTCACGAAGTGCGCAGGCGCACACGGCGACGCGAGCGTGACGTCACAGCGCGCCTTCTGAGCCGCGACGGCGGGCGGAGGTCGGTGCTGGCGGGCTGTGGCGGCTGGGGCTCTGCAGAGGTTCCGGCGCCATGTTCGGCTCCAGCCGGGGCGGCGTGCGCGGCGGGCAGGACCAGTTCAACTGGGAGGACGTGAAGACGGACAAGCAGCGGGAGAACTACCTGGGCAACTCGCTGATGGCGCCGGTGGGCCGGTGGCAGAAGGGCCGCGACCTCACCTGGTACGCCAAGGACCGCGCGCCGTGCGCGGGCCGGAGCCGCGAGGAGGAGCTGGCGGCCGTGCGCGAGGCGGAGCGCGAGGCGCTGCTGGCCGCGCTGTGAGTGCCTAGGCGGCGGGGGCGGGGGCGGGACTTTGGGGCGGGGGCAGTGCCGACTGGGGTCCCTGCAGCTGACGCTTGTCCCCGACCCTCGCAGCGGCTACAAAAACGTGAGGAAGCAGCCCACAGGCCTGAGCAAGGAGGTAGATCGGGTGCGGGCTCGGGGTCCGCAGGACGGGTGGGATCCGCCTGTGCCGGCCCGGCACCTACTGTCTTCCCCCGCTTCCGCAGGACTTCGTGGAGATCTGCAAACGCGAGGGAGGTGACCCTGAGGAGAAGGGCGTGGACCGGCTGCTGGGGTTGGGCAGCTCCAGGTGAGGCGGGTTGGGGAGTGGGGTAGGGACTGGGTGGTGGTCCAGAGCTGTCCTCACCGCTCTGTCCCCGCAGTGGCTCCGCGGGCCGCGTGGCACTGTCCCGGGAAGACAAAGAAGCTGCCAAGCTTGGGCTGTCGGTGTTCACGGTAATCCCAGTCCATCACAGCGGGAACCCAGGGGATGGGATGGGGGGGTGTCATGGGGAGACCAGAGGCAGAACTTCCTGGATGTCCCTCCCCACAGCTTCGCTTCTCTTACAGCACCACCGCGTAGACAGCGGCGGCCCAGGAGCCTCCCCATCCACCACCCGGAGGAAGCCTCGCCCTGAGGACAGGACCGATCTGGGGTAAGTTGCGTCCAGCTCTCTGTTCCACCTACTCGTGTGTGCTCTGGTGAGTCGCTGTTATCCGAGTTGTGTGGGGCAGGTTAACCAGGTGGGGGACCAGGCTCAAAGAGGACACTGGGAGAGACCGGGAGGCCAGGCCTGTGGGCCAGGGGTAGGGAGATTGTAGATAGCAGTCTGGGCTTTTTTTCAGGGAACCAAGCACTGCCTCAGTTGAGGGTCAGTGGTGTAGTGGGCTTCCAGGCTGGATGTACCCAGGGGCCTAAGGAGCTCAGAAGTGGCATGAGGTCTCAGCTGTCATTAGGGGTGGGGGGACCCAGCAGGGTGGTGGGTACAGAAGGGTGCCAGGGCCATGATGCTGGCCAGTTCCTTGGGACATTAGCAGTTAATTAAGAAGGCATGAGGTGGCGAGTACCTGGAAACAAGAGGTAGATGAATGGGTTCAAGGCCACCTGGTTCCAGGTATCATTTGGCTGTGTGTGTGTGTGTCTAGTTTATCAAGTCATTTTGTACTTAGAGTAACAGGAAGTTCCAGGCCCTGTCCATCTGTTGCCTTGACCCCACCCCCAGAGTGTGAGAGGCCCACCCAGTTGGTAGTATTCCAGACGTCTTACTTTGATGGGGATATTTCTTAATCTACGTTACCCACTGGTAGTTACTTCAGCCTAGTGGATAAGGTGCTTAATATTAAGCTCACTTACTAACATAAGGTCACAAACTACATGTGGGCACCATTTATCTCAGTGCCCAACACAATGGTGTGGACCCTGTCCTGGTGAGACGACCCCACTGTTCTCAGCTCAGATTCAGTACTCGAGGGTCAGGCTTGGGCCTTTTCTGTACTCTCTCTTACAGTACAGAGAGTCAAAAGAAAAGCAAGAAAGAAAAGAAGAAAAAGAAGAAAAAACATAAGAAACATAAGAAGAAAGACAAAGAACACAAGAGGGAGGCTGACAGCTCCTCCTCTTCTCCCTCTCCTCGGTAGGCTAGTCTCAGCTCTACCTTGGGGGCACTAAGGGAGGGGGGCTTCAAGAGCTGGCCAGGCTGGATGGGGTGTTGGGCAGGGTGGAGGGGCCTTTTAAGTATCTGGTGGTCCCTGTCTCCCTAGGCCCAGGCACCAGAGGCATGATTCTGACTCCTCCTCCCCCTGCTCTAAGAGAAGGAAGTGGGGACATAACAGGGACAGCGGAAGGAGCCCATCCCACAAACGGCAGGACAGAAGCTCTGACGACTGAGAATGTGGGTAGTTACCAAAGGACGGCAGAACTCTGGTTGCCTGAGCCAGGACACTGACCACCACTGAGCACTATGGGATCTATCGAGAGTGGTCTCCACTGATGCTAGGTGGTCGTCTGCTCCCTGGCATGACTCTAAGCCAAGTATGCTCGGCCTTGCGAGCTGCCTGGCAGAAATCACTCTGGGTCTGTGTGAAATGAGCCTGAGGAATGGGGTTTCAGTGCCCTTGCCTTGCCCCAGTGCCAGGGAACATGCATCTGCTCAGGAGTCTTTGAGTGTCACAAAGTCCAGGCAGGCCCTCAAGGTTTAGATGTGTGTATGTGGATGGGTAGGGTTTTTTTTTTTTTAAATAATCTTTTTGAGTGTCTCCTTGTAGCCCCAGTTGACCTGGAACTATGTAAACCAGGCTGGCCTCTATCTCACAGATGCCTGCCTTGAGTGCTGGATTAAAGGCATGTGCAACCATGCCCAAACCTACTTCCACTTTTTGTATCAACTCACTTTGTACTTAAGTAAATGTATTTTAAAAGTAGAGTGTAGTGTCACTGAGGGCATACTATTCTGGGATGAGTGAGTATCCTGAGGCCCTCCGTCATTGGGTCTGGGAACCAAAGCCCTGTCCTTGAGGTTGCTTTACAACTGGACAAGTGGCTTCAAGAACTGGCAAGATCCATCTTAAACTTGCTTTGGTTTGGCTAGGATATATGTACCTGGACTCTGGAGTGGCTGTCTGCCCTAGAGCCTGGTTCCTGCCTCAGAGGCAGTGGGCTCCAGTAGCTGGACAACAGTGATCTAAGAGCTAAGTGTGCTACTAGGCATACAGCAGGTTGGTGTTTTCTGGCTTCTGATTATAAAAAGTTGTGTGTGTGTGTACTCTGGGGCAGACCACATGTCTTCTGAGACCTGCACTGTGACTGGAATGTTGACCTGTGTCCTGTAGGTGGCCATCTAAGCTTGAGTGAAAATTGCAGTTGTCTTAAGACACCACCTCAAGGGGGTGAACATCAGTCCACTTGGGCAGGGTCCCACTTAGAACAAGGAGAGCAGACTTTGGACCTCCTAGTGGCCATCCCCACCTAGGGACACATACCCCGTGTACCCCGAAGTCTAGCTGCTTACTGTAGGGAGATGAGGCATACCTCAGTTTAAGCAAAGCACCAGAGGCTGGCAGTAGCTGCTGAGACATGAGGGGAGCCAAGGCATTCAGTACTGACTGACTTTTATGTTTGCCACCTCCTCCAAAGTGAGCTGGAGCATTCTTCCACAGGGCAAGAAAAATGTCCCCAGGCTTTGCAAGCAGGCTGTGGTATGGCCTGACCTAGTGGGAAAGTCTAGAACTTGGAGGGCACTTGTTCCCTTTAACATGAGAGCTACTCCTACTTCCCTGCTTTCCAGGAGACGTCCTGACAACGTGAACACTGACACACAAGCCCATGAAATAGTTAAGAGACTTTATTCTAATAGCTATAATTACAGTGCTTGTCGAAATGAAAACTGAAAACAAGTATACAAAACAGTTGATTACTAATTGTGTATTGAAAGCAGTAAGAGGTTCCACAACACCAAATAAACCAGTTCTGAGGTTTCCCCAAGATAAATTTAACAGCTCCAGCTTCTTCAGTGTTTATCAAAATACAAAAGAAAAAAGTAGAGGTCGTCTTTCGATGGCAAATCGGACCCTTGCAGGCTGAGGGAGGAAGCTACTTCACACATGGAGATGGGGGTGCTCTGGGATGTGGGTCTGAAGTGGACCGACCCTCCCAGCTTGCACGTGCTCCTGCTGGTGAGACCCAGGCCTCCTGCCAGCGCGTCCAAGTGGGCCCAGGAGCAAGCTGGGAACGTGGGCTGCCATCTGGTCCAGCCACGCACACATCAACCAAGGACAAGGCCAGGCCCTGCACCCCACAGTGGCCCCAGCCTGCCCCTAGTTGACCATGTGAGCACAAGTACAAGCACAATGCTATGGAATGCAGGTGACCCAAAGACAGGCGAGTCACAGGGGCTCTACTGGGACCATGCAGTGGATGGTGGTTTGTTCCCACAGGAACAGCCAATCCAATAGACTAGCATTCAGGCCATTACTGTAAAACCTAGACTAGGCATAGTCTTCCTTCTGTGTGTTCAAGTGTTCTTGTCTTGTATTTTAACTATTTTAAAAAATGCACTGAGTTTGGGTTAAAAACCAACCACCAAATGGATCCCGACACCAGTCTATAGCCAAATGGCTCCTGGAGGCCAAGTGCCCTGACACCAAATCCCTTCTCAGTACTGACAGTGAGTTGATTCTCTTTTTACAATAAAAAAGCTAAGTAATATTGCATAGGAGTACCAGAAACTGCCTCAGTGGAAACAGAAACTATTTACATTAAATAAAAACCTGGCTGCAGGCTGTGTCTGCACATGTACAGCACGGTGCGATGCACACTGTGACCAACCCATGGAGACAGCTTCTGGCACTCAGGACCACAGAGTCGCACGTTTGCCACATGAGAGGAAAGCGGAGGGCAGAGAAGAGGAAGTAGGGGGAGGGATGGGGTCTGTTTCACTTCTGGTTCCGGAGCTGATTGGACAGCCAGTCTAGTCCTTCATAGAGCCCATCCCCGCTGGTGGCACAGGTGGCCTGAATGTACCAGTTCCTGTGGCGTAGAGAGTGCAGCCCCAGCTTGTCTGTGATTTCGGCCGCATTCATGGCATTGGGAAGGTCCTGAGGGGAAGGAGTTGTTAGTGGCAGAGGCCATCAGCAGCCAGTTCCCAGGACAAGGCAAGCACCCTGAGCAACCTCTCACCCACCCTCTCCCCTCCCTGATGCAGGTTCCTCCTCAGGGAGGACCTTGCTGGTGCCTACCTGCTTGTTGGCAAACACCAGGAGAACAGCATCCCGGAGCTCATCCTCAGCCAACATTCTCATGAGCTCCTCACGGGCCTCGTTCACACGCTCTCTGTCATTGCTGTCCACTACGAAGATCAAGCCTGCAACACCACCACATAGCTGCACATGCTGAGCACTCCCCACCTGACCATCCCGCAGGCTCCAGACCCAATCCTCCCACTGGCCATGATACTTGGTGTGGCCTCATGTCCTGGAGCCAGCAGTGGCCATGGGACTCAGCCAGGAGGTGCACCCCTTTGAGAAGGCAGACAAGAGGAACCCATGATGAGGACTGGCCCCTCACCTTGAGTATTCTGGAAGTAGTGACGCCAAAGAGGCCGGATCTTGTCCTGGCCACCCACATCCCACACGGTGAAGCTGATGTTCTTGTATTCAACAGTCTCCACGTTGAAACCTGGAGGCAGGGTTGTAGCTGAAGGCCCTTGGCACTTGGGAGCCCCAGGCCCCAACCCCAACCCAGCCCAGCTTCTCACCAATGGTGGGGATGGTGGTCACAATTTCACCCAGCTTCAGTTTGTATAGAATTGTTGTCTTCCCTGCAGCATCCAGGCCAACCATGAGAATGCGCATTTCTTTTTTGCCAAAAAGGCCTTTGAAGAGGTTTGCAAAGATATTCCCCATGCTTGTGGATAGGTGGAAGCAATACTGGCCAGAGACCTGGGGGAAGCAAGGTCCTGTTATGCGCTGCGGTGTGAGGCAGGTCAGAGAACACTACCCAAGGGCTCACACACCCCCTCCCGCCCAGTACCCTCCCACCCCCCATGAAATCCATGGGAGACAGACTACAACCCCAGTTCACTTGTTGAGCTGCTACCAAGCTACAGGAACATCTAACCACAGCCATGCTTGCTCATACTTGGGAGCTGGCATGTTAACTCTCTGAGACACATGAGGCCTCTTATAGTCCAACAGAGCTCTTCATGGGACCAGAAAGAACCACCTCACATCTCTTTCCTCCCTGTACCAGAGTCCCTAACAAATTACAGAGAGCAGACACTAAAACTTCCTCCACATACACAGAAAAACTGGTTACTCCAGACTCAGGACTGTAGGCCAAATGCCCCAACAATCCTTGGTAGCAGCACATTATAAAACAAGTCCAGGGAGAACTGTGGTGTCACCCCTCAGATGAGCCAGGCCAGCTGGTCAAGGTAATGTCTATCCACCCCAGCCTAAACAGCCACCTGGAGGCCCAACAGTAAGCCCTTGACAGCACATTCCCTTGAGGACCTACACAAGAGCATGCTCCTGTGAGGACAGGTCCCTGCAAGGGCGTGAACATAAACTGGGCAGGACACACTAGCAGAACAGAAACGCTGGGGATACCAAGTCAACTGGTACCAATTAAATTTTAGTCTAGCCCGAGACATGGAGCGCCGAAGGATAAATAAGGCTGCCCAAGTCGTGGCCTCAAATCTTGTCAGTACTTCCATTCTTCCTTTGTTTTTTACCTAGACAGATTTCACTGCTTTCTCAATGCTGAATGTTAGGAGCCTTCAGAAAGTTGTGTTCCACTAAAACTAAGCAAGCATGGTATGCAACAGGGTGAAAAGGCTTCCTATGTGTCATCCTTCTGCGTTGCCACAACAGAACACCACAAACAGCAGCTTGGCAAAAACAGACAGAGCTGCACATTCTACCTATATCATGGCCTGTCTGACTCTTAAGATGAGATCTTGAGTGGCATCCTCCGGAAGGGGAGAAACCATGCTCTCACACGGTGAAGGAACAGGAGCATGAACCCATTCTAAAAGCCTCTCTCAGGCTGGAGAGATGGCTCAGGTTAAGCGCACTGGCTATTCTTGCAGAAGACAGGTTAAATCCTAGCACCCACATCTCAGCTAACAATTGTCTGTAACTCAAGTTTCAGGGGATCCGATGCCGCCTTCTGCCCTCCGTGGGCATGTGTGACATGGGAGCACTTAAACACATAGTAAAATAAAGTTTAATTTCCCATATGTGAACTTTGGTCCACATACCCCGCCCCCCTTTCTCGTGAGGCTGTGTTAAGGGGAAACTCCAGCCACCATTCCTCCTCTAGGTTCAGTACCCTGACCTCCCAGGGTTGCATTACACTGTAAAGACTGTTGGACACTGACATCCTAACAGTTATTTTCCCGGCTGCTGCCAAGCAGCCACTTGAAGGAAACTCCTTCATTTTTGGTACGTACACAAGCTTGTGCATTACATTGTCTTGCTCAGCAGGCTGGACTCAAATTCCCAGCTGATGTGACATCAGCATCATCCTAGCCATGGCCTGCAGTGCCCCTTCACACTGTTTCCAGTGCGCTCTAGTATTCTCTTTTTAGGTCATGTAGTTAAAAAGTTGTAAGATGTCTATGTTTAGCTGGGCATGGTGACACACTCCCACCACTAGGGAGGCAGAGGCATGTGGATCTCTGAGTTCAAGGCCAACCTGGTCTATATAGTGAGTTCCAGGCCAACTGTAGCTACAGGGAAACACTCTTAAAAAGAACCCCCTCCCTCACAAAAAGATATCTATGTTTAAGCAAGCTTTGTCCCTTTTCTGAGAACAGTCAAACTCTCAGGTACAGAGGATTAAGAACACCTATGGGACAAAAAGCAGATGAACATTCTTACACTGCTGAAATCACTGCCCAAAGGAGAATTAAACCATCGGGACAGAGAGATACTCAGAATCAAACACCCAACTCTTCACCTTATTTCTTACCAGCTAAGACTAAGATAATAATAATGGTAACTTCAGCACTACAGGGTCCTCTACTTCACTTCTAGTGTGTTCCTCAAGAGGCTCCCAGGAGGGTCCAAGGATGGGGTGAGCAGCAGGGAGAACAAGGTGACCAAGGTTCAACCAGGCAGAAAGCTGGAGTCCCTGGGACACTCATCATGGGTGTTTCTAGCAGCTAATGCCCTCCTCGGGCCATTGTTGAGTGGGGGCTGTGTAGGAGCAACTGCACCAGAGGACGGGTATGGGAGACTCCCAGAATGCCCCAGTGGATAATGCAGATAGGCAGCCCCCAATAGCACCATCTGCCCTTCAAAAACCTCTAGTGTAAGATTACAGCAAGTAAAAAAGGAACTAGTAGGGAAGCAATCAGAACGAGAGAGAGAGAGAGAGAGAGAGAGAGAGAGAGAGAGAGAGAGAAAAGAAAGAAAAAAAGAAACTAGAAAGGAGGGAAGCAGAAAGAGAGAGAGAGAGAGAGAGAGAGAGAGAGAGAGAGAGAGAGAGAGCACTTAAAAGGAAAATCAACAACAAAAATAAGAAACCCAGGGTAGGGTATAGCTAAGCCGGGGTAGTGTGCCTGCCTAGCATGAATGAAACCCCGAGTCCAACATGGCATAAACCAACTGTGGTGGCTCCTGTTTATAAACCCAGCACTAGAGAGGTGGAGGCAAGAAGATCAGAAGTTCAAGGCCTGCCTCAGCTACACAACAATTTCAAGGCTAGCCTAGGCTATTGGAGACTCTGGCTCAAAAACAAACCCCCCAAACTCCCAAAGACCACATGCAGTACCAGTACACACAGATGTCCACCAAATAAGAACAGGATACTGAAACATAAAACATACAAAAGGCAGGCTCCCAGAAAGTGGAATAAGAAAAATACAGATAAGGGAGTGGGGAGATGGCGCAGTAAGTAGTTAAGAGCACTGACAGCTCTTGCAGAGGACCCAGGTTCAATTCCCAGCACCCACATGGTGGCTAACAACCATCTGTAACTCCAGTTCTAAGGAATCTGATGCCTTCTTCTGACCTCCTCAGGCATTGCACAACACAGGTACACTCACATGCAGGCAATACATGCATACACATAAAATTTACGAAAACTACAGACAAAAGACAAAGACTACAATTCCAGTATTTTGGAGACAGAGGCAGGAGAATAGAAATTTGATGCTAGTCTGGAATATAACATGAGACACTATCAGGGTAAGGAAGAAAGAAATCTGGCATGGTGACTCATGCCTGTATCCCAATGCTAGGGAGGCTGAGGCTGAAGGATTGCCTCAGGCTGGAAAAGTTTGCGGTCAGCCTGGGCTACAGTGTGAGACCCTGCCTTTAGAAACTAAAACTTCAAAAAACCCCAATGACCAAAAAAGAGGAGGCAAGGACATGAGGATAGGAGAGTGGCATGGTGAGGAGGGATAAAAACTTTAATGACAAAAATACAGACTGACAATGGAGGAGTCTCGGTTAGGCACATGCTCTAAGGGGATGGGACCTGTTGCCAAGACACTGTGACATGACCGTACAGTGGTGGTGGGAGGATAGCTC